AGTGTAAACCCTAGGAATGTCTAAACCCTAGGAAGTATAGTAGGGAACCATACGAAAAGGTAGACCCTAAACCCTAGGAAAGTCGAGTAAACCCTAAACCCTAGTAAAGTCTAGTATAAACGTAGAAAGCCAAGAGTAAGCGATAATACAAACCCTAGCCTAGTAAACCCTAGTAAACCCTAGTAAACCCTAGTGTAAACCCTAGTGTAAGCCCTAGTTAACCCTCGTAAACCCTAATACATAAACACACGAATGAATGACAATGCCCAACCTCATAAACCCTAAACCCTAAACCCTAAACCCTTATCCCTGATAACTCGATAAGAACCAAAACCACCGCATAAGCGCTGCTGTGAATGACACCACAAAACCGCTGAGGGTTTAGGGTTTACGGTCAAGGGCTTCGTGAGTCGCTGCAGCATAACCTTCATACCTAGACCACAAGGATACACCTAGGGTTTAGGGTTTAGGGTTTAGGGTTTACCGTCACACAGGTAGGGCGTTAATGCAAAAGCAATAAAGAATACTTCTACTTTGCGAATAATGGTATGTCAGCCGCTGACAACTTGGGGGAAACAAACCCTAAACCCTAAACCCTGAACCCTAAACCCTAAACCCTAAACCCTTATTTTCTACAAACAAATGATAGAAGAAAGATATTCAAACACTAAACAAATAAACAAATGGTATTTCTATCCACGAAGAAATCCGCTGGGGGGCCCATCAACCGGCGCCGACCAGACCAGCCCACCAAACCCTAAACACTAAACCCTAAACACTAAACCCTAATCTCTAAACCCTAAACCCTAATTTTGAAAAATAAGCCTATTTTTAATTACATCACTAAAGTATTATGATGTTTATTTCGATACAAAACAGCATCTGTATTAGTGCTTGGTCAGTCGGCTGCACCCAAAAACCCTAAACCCTAAACCCTAAACCCTAATGCACGCAGCATTCCTCTGTCTTCGCCTTATTAAAACCGCAGCTAAACACTAAACCCTAAACCCTAAACACTAAGTCCAATAATACTCTCACACGCCAACAGAGACCCAGGGGAAGACACCAGCACTCCCAACATAAAAAAACCCTAAACCCTAATTGAGGTAGGGTTTAGCGTTGGAGTGGGAAGTTTGACTGGCTAGAGGGTTTAGGGTTTTGATTCCCGTAAACCCTAATACGGCAACCACACAGCATCTCAAGGTTAGCTAGCAGCAGCAAAAGCAGCAGGAGCAGCAGCAGCAAAAGCAGCAGCAAAAGCAGCAGCAAAAGCAGCGCGCTACAGTAGACTATTAGGAGCATACACGCTAAACACTAAACCCTAAAAAATAAACCCTAAACCCTAAAACGTCGACCCTAAACCCTAAACCCTAAACCCTGGAGCCAAATAAACACTGAATTGAATTTGTTTATGGAGGATTAGCGACTCAATAAAACGATGAAACCTCCGACTCCCTCCACTGCCATGCTGCAGCAGCAGCAGCAACACCTGCTACTGCTGCTGCTGCTGCTGCAGTTGCTGTTGCAGTGCAGCTCTCTGCGCTGCCTTGATTCAGCAGCAGCAGCAGCAGCAACGACAGCAGCAGCAGCTGCTGCTCCTCTGGAGTTGCCTGCTGCAGACTCTATCTCCTCCACCCCCCAAAACCCTAAACCCTAAAAAACCCCAAAACCCTAGAAAACCCCAAAACCCTAGAAAACCCTAGAAAACCCTAGAAAACCCTAAACCCTAAACCCTAAACCCTAGAGTAGTAATTGATTAGTAAGTGGTAGACTAACAGCATTACATCTTCCCTCTAGATATTTTAATTGTCCGTTTGTTGGTGCACGAAGGATATCTGGCCAAGAAGAAAAGGAGACACTTTTTAACGAAATATTTCCTCCTGCTGCTCCTGCTGCTGCTGCTCTCTTAAATGGACTCAATATAGGAGACCCTTCTTCTGCTGCTGCTGCTGCTTTTGTTGCTGCTGCTGCTGCTTTTGTTGTTGCTGCTGGTGCTGAGGAGGAGGAAGAGAGAGGGTCGCCCTTGTTCAGGGAGCCAAGACTGTTAGTTGTCTCTTTTCTTTTTGGGGTTGATACATCTGCAGCAGCATCAGCAGCAGCAGCAGCTGCTGCTGCTGCTGTTGCTGCTGCTGCTGCTGCTGCTGCTTTATCGTCTGTCTTAAAGCGGAAGCCTTTGCTGACCTCCATCTGTGGCGCGACAACAATCTTCCTACGGATTAGCGCCTCCCTGAACACCCAAACCCTAAACCCTAAACCCTAAACCCTAAACCCTAGAAAACCCTAAACCCTAAACCCTAGATACACCAGAGAGTATAAAGCCCTAAAGTGATGATCCTTAATGATGAACATTCCTCATGCTGCCTAACATATAAATCTTGCCCTCGCAACCCTAAACCCTAAACCCTAAACCCTAAACCCTAATTTACGTGGCAACTGCTGCGGCGACAGCTCGTTGTGCCCTGAAGAATTCATCTCTGCTGAGTCCTGCGTATGCTGCAGCAAGAGGGGTTAGCTGTTGGGGTTTAGATTGCATAAGTTTGCTGCTGCTGCTGCCGCTGCCTTCTCGTTTGCTGTTGCGATAGATGTTGCTGCGGTTTTGGGGTGTATCTGCTGCTGCTGCTGCAGCAGCAGCAGGCAGCAGCACAGGACGATTAACAGCAACACCCCATAGAGACAAGACAGCAGCAGCAAGGGAATAACCTCCGCTAGTCCCTATTAGTATACGCTGCATCTCTATACATAGACGGCATGCAGCATCGGATACACCATACAGAGGGTGCTGCAGCAGCACGCGCTGCTGCTGCTGCTGCAGATAATCTAATTGGTCATTGCTGCTGCTGCTGCTGCTGCTGCTGCAGCGGCGAAAGTTGGATAGATTATCACGAAGTCCTCTTGCTGCACCACTTGCTGTTAGCTGACGACTTGTTGCATACCCTATATACCAGCTGCTGCTGCTGTTGCTGCTGCTGCGCCACATCCGCTGCTGCTGCTGCTGCTGCTGCTGGATACGTAAGTCACAGAGACACACCAACTGATGCAGCGGCGGCTCCAATCTATAGGAAGTTGTTACCCCTGTTAGACTCTGCAAGGAGACACCTGTCCCCTATAGACACAGCAGCACAACAAGCAGCAACAGCAGCAGCAGCAGCAGATGCAGCAGCAGGAGCAAAAAGAAATATATCAAGAGACACCTTGGCTACCCGCAAAAAGACATAATGCAGCAGCAGCAGCAGCGGCAGCAACAGCAGCAGCAATCCGGTCTCTCTTGGCACTCCACCACAACCATCAACAGCAGCAGCAACAGCAGCAACAGCAGCAACAGCAACAGCAGCAACAGCAGCAGCAGGAGATACCGTATTATTATCTATTTCCTGTCTCTGCTGTACAAGCTGCAGACCATAAGCAGTAAGTATTGCTGCTGTTGCTGCTGTTAGACGAAGAGAAGGAGACTCTCCTGCTGCAGCAAAGAGACTACCTATAGCTAATGATGTCATACGGTGTCTCTTCTCCCCTATACATATAATAAATAAATAAATAAATAAACAGCAGCAGCAGCAGCAGCAATGAGAGGAGGAGCAGGAGCAGGAGGAGGAGGAGAAGCAGCAACTGGAGTAACGGCTGTTTAACGGTTTTTTGGCGGTTGCTGCTGCAGTTGCTGCAGCAGCAGAAGCAACTGCAGCAACTGCAGCAACTGCTGCTGCTTCTACTGGTCTTGTAGGGTTTAGTATTTAGTGTTTAGGGTTTAGGGTTTATGGATATATACCTGCTAGGAGACGGGAGAGTTGCTGCAGGAGTTCAGGTCTTGCAGAGCCTGCTGCTGCAGCAGCAGCAGCAGGACCAGTAGCAGCAGCAGCAGCAGCAGCAGCAGGATTATTACCTATATCTGCTGCTAATGTACAATGATGAGGAAGAGACAAACGAACTAAGAAGGAGACAACATCAGTAGGGAAGCAGCGGCGTAAGAAGATAGGAGTAGCTGGTGCTGATGGTGCAGAAGCAGCAGCAGCAGCAGCAGCAGCAGCAACGCATGCACGTCGACGCTGCTCCATTGTTGCAGCAAGACGATAAAAGGAGAGAGAAGGAGGGATACAGCTGTACAGACACCGCGAGGGGGGAGGAGGTAAACAAAAGAAACGAATAAAGAGACAGACAGGCAGCAAACTTATATTATTATGTGTATAACCATCAGCAGCAGCAGCAGCAGCAGCAGCAAAACGCTCCATATCCATCCGTGCTAATAAACCTATACATAAACATACACAAACAGCAGCAGCAGCAGCAGAGGCACATGAGCCCCCCAGCAGCAGCAGCAGCAAGTTAAACAAAAGCAGCAACAACAGCAACAACAGCAGCAACAACAGCAGCAAATGCAGCAGCAGCAGCAGCAGCAGCAGCAAATGCAGCAGCAAGAGATTCCTACGGGTAAGATAGGAGATTTTGTGCATGCGGGTGTCTCCAAATATAAACTGCAGGCAGCAACACAAGGAGACAGCAGCAGCAGCAGCAGCAGCAGGAGCAGCACATAAAAATTTATTTATTTATTTAATTTATTTAATTTGTATATTTATTTATTGTCTATTGTCTCTCCTTGTTCTCTCTCCCTTTGTGTCTCCTTTTGTGTCTCCTTTTGTGCCTCCTTTTTGTGTCTCCTTTTGTGTCTCCTTTTGTGTCTCCTTTTTGTGTCTCCTTTTGTGTCTCCTTTTGTGTCTCCTTTTGTGTCTCCTTTTTGTGTCTCCTTTTGTGTCTCCTTTTTGTGTCTCCTTTTGTGTCTCCTTTTTGTGTCTCCTTTTGTATACTTACTGATGCTGCCCCCTCAGCAAGAAGAGCAGCAGCAAGAGAAGAATCAATAAAAGAAGAACGCGAAGGAAAAAGAGATAAAAAAGAAGATACATCTTCTCCTTCTTCCCTATACATAAATAAATAAATAAATATAAATAAATAAATAAATAAATATATTTATTTATTTATTTTATTGTGTATAATTATATACCAAGAAGAAT